AGCACTTTTTAAATAAGTGTATTCTCAGTACATTCTTCAAAACATCTGGAACTCGAGCCTCTTTGTAAAGCACAAAAAGCTGGCAATCCGGTGAATAGAGCCGTTGCGTACTCATCCCTCAAATGGAATAATGGGATGACTGCCTTCAAAATCACTCCAAAAACTCTTGGAGAGGGGAGTTCAGAGCCAAAGCCTCCACATTATTTAATATCTTCCTCAAAATTGGTTTGTTAATCTATGGAGAAGGAGAAGAGTGCAACACCAGGTGGTAATGCCATTTACGAGAAAAATCCGCTCTGTCTGGGCCTGTTAATGTGTACATAATAGTCTCCAACTGTGACTTGTCCTGCCAACTAATCCTCGCGTGTTCATGATGAATGCACCAAGGCAGGAGCGGGATTAACTACTCTGTTTTTCATTTACAGCCGGTGTGGTGTAGAGTCGGCATTAAAAGGTGAAATGCTCTCACCATCTGCTGTATGGCCTCACCCACTTTGACGGACAGTGTTTGTCAAGTGTTGGTCGGTCGGTAGGCAACCGTCTGTTGGCTGCGTCTCGTGTAATGGTGTGCGCTGTCCACGCGTGAGTGAGGAGGAGCTGCGCAGCGGACTAGGCGATGAGGTGAATGTGCATGTCTGTCTGCCTGTGTGTGTCAACAGGGTGATTGCACACGCCGATTCACATTGGGTGCTGGATTAGCGCCTGGAAGCACACACACACACACGCACTTCAGGGATTGAAAGAGCTTGTCGCTCAATTAAAAGCCGCAGCCCAATATTGGCGGCGTTACCGCATTTCAAGTGAGTAATGGCGACTGGATCCGTACTTTTGCACGGCACACCCATGCATTTTTGACGATTCCCAGTTCATGTGATCGCCTGCTGAAATGTTTCACTGTGACGGGGGGGAGAATGGGGGTTCAAACATTCTGCGCAATTCAACGCAGAATGTTCGCTTGCATTTGCAATTGGTCCACCCAGTCATTTCAGATTTTCTGATACCGATCCTCCAAACTCATGTGCTTCAAAGTTTTACACAGTGGTTTAATGTCAGCGTCTAGAACGACTATGAAGTTGTCTGTTTTTGTTAGCTTTATGAGGACAAATTAAGATGTTACAATTGTAATTTACCACTCATTTAACCCACCTTTTATCTTGTCAGACATAATAGAAGAGAGCGTAGCCCTGGAATTTTTTACTTAAAATAGTCATTTCTGATTCATTAATACGACCTTAAGATGCAATGTGAGAGATTGGGAACGAGGAGGCGAAAAATCCAAGTGGAGTAACCTACTGAGTACGTGCCATCCCATTTTCTATGCAAACAAGACTTTTGTGTCTCAAAGTTCTAGAGAACTTAGCTTTAAAAGCCGCAATCAACCGAAGGGACTTTAATGGTCTAAGCTCATATATTATCTTGGTTTTAGAGTGATTGGAAATTTCACCTGGGATAGATATTAAACTGCTCGACCTTCGCTTGAATTTTCGAGAATCACGTAAAACAACAATCCAAAAGTTACGTAAATTCGACAGTAAAGGTTAAAAGAGTCACCCATACAAGGTCTTGTCAAATGTAGCGTCAGAACCTAAGGTTATCAGGTGCTAGAGCAAACCTGTATTCCTGAATAAGTAATACTAGGTTATTCAAACTGCCGCCTTGCTTGCATCATACAACCGAACCTGACACTTACAAGTCGCACCACCCAACATCGAAAGATGTAGTTGATTAACCCAAGGATTGGTCGATAAATGCACTGTGATTAAAATAAATAGCGGAATCGGGGAGAAACGGTTTTAGGGCTACAAAGGAAAGCTAACATGATCCTCATTTGTGATCGACCGCAGAATTTGGTGATCAACTCGTCAGTAGGTGATCTCAACACCTAAAAATTATTCTAAATTTACTCTCTTATTAACGCCCTACAAGCTGTCAACAAACTTCTAAGTCAAGTCCTTCGAGGTCACCCAGTTGATTGGACAGAAAATATCACCAAAAATTATCTCAAATCAATTTTAAAGGACTAAACAGAAAATAACTCACTTTTCCCACCGGAATTGTTAGTACCCTATTTGTCTCTAGAATGTATGACTGGCCTTTTACTGTGCACGCACCTTTGAATATCGACCTAAATTTTTGACTAAACAAAATCATGTGCTTCAAAATTTGAGGACTGCCATTGGGAGATGGAAATTTTTTAGGAATGAGCCCACCTCTGTGATAGTCATCACATTTCACACACCCATACACACACAGCATTGCACGGGTTAATCGGGCTGAAGCAATTTGGCAAGATGCTCAACCTGCAGACCTTGAGATCTCTTTTGTGCATCCTTACCAAGCCTCGGAACACACCCATGGCATTTTGGGTGTACTCTATCAAATTTAATTAGTCTTTGTTAAAGGGCAGTTTCTGTCACATTGGCGGCGGGCATTCAAAAGTTTGGTTACATGATCTCCCTTGAAAAGTAATATGGCCCTAAAGATAGGAAGGAATAATACGCAATGGCCACAACGAAGCGACCACTTGTACTTTGTTACGGGTGGTATACCACTCACCAAAGTGTACGCTTAAGCAATAGCCACAAGATGACATAAATTTAGAGAGAAATAGGGGTCTGAAAATAAGAAGGTGAGGATCAAATTCTCGTTGATTTGGATTATTTTGTTTGAATTCAGCAATCCACTTGTTTATTGGTATTAAGAAACACTGGTGACAGTTGACAAACTGCTTTTAAATCACTTCAAAGCGAGCATGCTCAGAAGCGGTGATTTCGTAATCCGCGACATTTGTCTGAGTACAACGGTTTTGTTTTTTTAAAAAAAATATGGTTAATATTTTTAATTTGGTAAAAATGTGGGTCAAAAAATTCATGATTAGTAACGGATTATGTCTGGACTCCGAGGTACATGATGTAGTACTTTCAATTCAGTTTCTTACAACGCCAACAACAATTTCTTTTAATTTTTCTCAACTAGATCGACCCATGACTACTACCTGCTAACAATCCTGTTAAGAAGAAAAAAAGACAGATCGGTGTTGTGATGATTAAGTTCCACGTTTCTACACAGAATTCGGTTACTACTTCATCGTTGTGCGGGGTAAGGCTTTCACTCGTCAGACGATGGTACATTTCACCATACGCGTTTCCAAAAGACTCCAGTATAGCACCACGGCAGCAGAAGATGAGGCTCGTTCTGTGATATTCCAGTCAGGCGTATCAAGCACCCTAGTTAACTATCACTAAAATGTGGAATAACTACACCACAAAAGAATGGACCAAGGGCCTCAGCTATCAGACGACTTTAGTAAGCTGGCCTCTTTCAATCATTGCCAATGTTCGCAATGAAGTTCACATCCAAAAGTGAAATAACTCCTTCGATCTCAAATGGAGTTTTAAATGTATACTTGCCAGCCCAATGTAAAGACACTTTCGGAGGAACTCCGTTGTAAAACTTGTGTGGATTGGTCGCAATGAAAGGGTTGCTACTTACTAGGGTTGGGTAGTGCAAATAAGTAATTTCTATTGCTTCTGAGATTTGATAAATAAGGGAAGGGTGATGTTCCATTATCCATGTCGGACCTCATTTTATCTTTATTTGGTTTTATCGTCACACACAGAATCATATATGATGTCGAATGTGCTTTACCAGTGGATATTATGCGTTTCATCGAACTGGTGTCAGGTCGTTTGATGACATCAGTGCTGAAGAATGCGCCTTAACGCTAAATGTGCCTACAAGAACTGGTTAGATTTAGTAAAAATCTGCTATAGATATGAGTGACAGGAGGCAAAAAATAAAACTGTCATTGCTTGGAGAACTATTGGCTGTACTTTATTTTTTTGGGAGGGGTGCATAGAGTGTGTCAGCCACGTCAAAACGCCGATTCTGTCACAATGGTAGGGAATGCCAGATGCGTAATAAATGCTCGCATGGCGCTTGAACTACTTTTATGAAAGAGTGTAAATTGCAAATAGGATTAATCGTTTAATTACATCTAGCGAGAGGTCTTTTTAAAATGCACAAATTCACTTATATTGTGAGAAGTTGACAGTGCTTAAAGCAAGCTCAACAAAGTGCGGACAAATAGTCCATCAGTGCCTTTAAATTACAGACTAAAATGCTTAGGCTATCTGAGGAAAGACGTTTGAAAATGGTAAAAAGGCACGACTTCTCCTATTTTTACTACTATACCTATAAATTTCAGTGATCCATAAAACATAAGAAGGTACTAGGGAAACTGGCCGATAGAATAATATTTTCACTAGTACTGGAGATGAAAACACATATTTGAGAGTTTTTAGCCTCAAATTAAACCGAAGCCCAAGATGCTTGTGGCTCTTCAAGAACTGAAACAACAGCTGATTACATCACCCCTGAAATATCACACCACCTTCGAATCGTGTTTTTGCCGAGTATTTTATGAATTTGTATGCATTTCAAGGGATCAGTTTATCATGAGAGTATTTTGCATTAGTATAATATTCTAGTTAACTTTGAGTTCAATGACGTAGACGCTTCGGTCAATGCTAGTTATTGTTCCACTCCGTTCTTTGGCATGGTCTCCGGATCACGCCAATAGCCTCCCAGTTCTTTTACGCGTTAGCAAAGTGGATACATCCGCATCACTTTTGGGTGCAAAGACTACAGTGGAGCGGCAGGATATTACATTTTAAGTGGAATCCGCCCTTTTTATAAGATGAATATTGTTCTACTTTTAAAAAAGCTAACAGTTGGGGGCATTAGTAGGCTGGTATAAGATACAAATACAGGAATTAAAAATACAGCTAACGAGACCTATGGGTTTCGCAAAACGGCAGGCAGCAAAACCGAAATGCGGAATCATTTTGTTCTGAGAAGAAATTATCCAGATTTAACTTTTAGAAATACGATATCATATTGAGTCGTCCATCTAAAAGTAGTCAAATTCTGCCTGAAAAAATGCCAAGTTTAAGCAAACCAACGTAATGCTTACGTTTGAATTTCAAAATACAAAATGTGTCTAGGAAATCCAATAAAAAAAATACACTACCAGGTTAAGCTGGCAACCACGATAAGCACCTAATACCAATTTTGTTTAGATTGTCCCTGCAGAAGGAGCGTGTTTGGAGTTTTTGCGTGCACTGAAGATGAAGCGCGATAAAGCGAAGCAGTTGAAGGAAGCTAAAGATGCCATTAAAAGACAAACGCTAGCGGACAACAAGACGACGAATTCGGAACATTCAGAAGAGCGAACTTCTCCAACAAACGACCACTTTCCTGGCACAGAGCCCATGCTAAGTCACAAATTTGCGGATCTACCCATCTCCGAACCAGTAAAGAGGGCATTGAATGACATGGGTCTTACCAAAATGACAGAAATTCAGTGGAAATGTATACCACATTTACTTGAGTGCAGAGATGTTATGGCGTCTGCGAAAACGGGGAGCGGCAAAACTCTTGCTTTCCTAATCCCGGTTGTTGAACTTATTCGGAAATTGGGCATGCAAAGTCGCAATGGGACTGGTGCTGTCATCATTTCTCCTACACGCGAGCTCAGTCTTCAGATTTACAGTGTACTAAAGGAGCTTACGGCTCACACGCAAATTCGTATCGGCCTAATCATGGGTGGCAGTAACCGGCAGGCCGAAGCCCAAAATTTACAGAAGGGTGTCACTATCCTTGTAGCAACTCCAGGCAGACTTCTTGACCACCTGGTTAATACTGAGAATTTCCTTAGGCACAATCTGAAGGTCTTAGTAATCGACGAGGCGGATCGTTTACTAGATATTGGTTTTGAACTGGAAATGGAGCAAATTATCCGTCTGCTACCAAAAGATCGACAATCCATCTTTTTCTCGGCTACGCTAAATGAGAAAACACATAAACTTGCCAAGTCTGCATTGAAGGCGAACTGCATTATGATTGGAGTGGAGGAGCGGTCTGAGGCAACTGTAGAAACACTCGAACAAGGCTATATTGTCTGTAATCCCACCACAAAATTTTCTCTGCTTTACACTTTTCTCAAACGTAATAGAAACAAGAAGGTGTGCTTTATGTTTCCAGTGCTTTTTGAATGATTTTGAGAATCGGGACGTTTAGTGTTGAATTTCTTCTTTTTTAGATCATGGTCTTCATGTCAGCGTGCATGGAAGTGAAGTTCTATTACGAATTGCTAAATTTCATCGATATGCCAGTTCAGGCAATTCATGGACGCCAGAAGCAGGCCAAACGAACCAGCACCTTCTTAAGTTTTGTCAAGGCTCAAAGTGCAGTGCTTCTCTGCACAGATGTGGGTGCTCGTGGTCTGGATATCCCTGAGGTCTGTTTATATCCGGTTTTTTTTCAACGAAATTGTTTTTTTTTTTCAATGAGTCCTAGGTCAGGATCTAGGATAAAACTGGTTTTACTTATCTTCTAGGCTTTTTAGTTAACGATTGTATTTTTGGGCAGGTTACTATGTTACGTGTATGCAATGTTTCGAGCTCCATGTGGTCATAATTTCTTACTTTGTGGCCGGTAGAATTAATCTCATTGGTGTCTTCCTCTCAGTTACTATCGTCTCTTGAATGTTTTAAATTCATTAATAGGGCGTGGGCAAAACGGGCTTTGCGTTTTTACGCCGAAATGCACACATATATGTACATATTTTAGCTACACGGCAGTAACTAATGTTCTTCATGTTGCTATTTTTTGGTCAAATCACATCCGTTAACTGTATGTAATGATATGAGTAATCTCTTTAAGGGAATTTTGGGCTATGGACGTTCGTGACTATTCGTAACGAAAGGGAAGATCAGATCCGGCTTAGTTTAAATGTTTTAGGAATTTATTGCTATCCTCTATGAACTATTTTGGCTTTTTCAAAATTGTATCTGGCTTGGGTTGAATGTGTTTGAAAGGGTGAAGTTGGCGTCCATTTCAACAGGGACGACAGGTTTTTTCAATGAAGTTTACAGTTTCCTACTGATTAATAAGCAGGATATCTTTGTCATCCGTATCAATTGTCTTTGCTACTATTTGCTAGTTCTTTTATAACAGCAATGTTGTGCTTGTCGTATTACGCGATGTACTGACTTGGATGTGTAATCTCAATAGGTGGACTGGATTGTACAGTTCGATCCACCGGATGACCCGAAGGACTATATTCATCGTGTTGGTCGAACTGCTCGCGCTGGCAAATCGGGGAACGCTCTTCTCATGCTCCGCCCCCATGAACTTGGATTTCTAGATGTTCTGCGCAGCTCAAAAGTCATTCCAGTTGAGTACGAGGTGGCGGCGGGCAAGGTGGCTGACGTACAGCCAGCGTTGGAGAAGCTTATTTCCTCTAACTACTTTCTGGCGAACTCGGCGCAAGAGGCTTTCAAGGGCATTGTTAGGTCTTACAACTCCTCTAAGCTCTCTTGCTTCAATGTCAACGAACTGGATTTGGCAGCTCTGGCTAAGACTTGTGGTCTCCAGATCGTTCCCAAAGTGGATTTGGGAGTAGAGCCATCGAAGAAGTTTGATATGAAACGAATGAAGCGGAAGGCCTTTGGAGCTGCGGCCGTGGGAGCCGCAAAGAAAACCAAGTTCTATAAACACCTTAGGTAGTTGACATGCATAGTGCGTTTTAATTGTACATATGAAATTCCAAATACACTGTGTAATCATTACTAGGTGTCGCCTGTACCGTAGGTTTAGGGTGTTTATCATTGGACCGCGCGTTGTTTTGATTTTTCGCGGGGAGGGCGTTGGTCTCGGTTGCAGTCAAGTCCCGAGTGCTGTTCTTCACCAACATCCTTGAAGATGGCCTGTGGTCTGTGAAGCATGATTCGGTTGTTGTAGAAATTGGGTCCTCTTTGGTGCTCGAGGTGGGCATTAGCGACGATTTCTTTAGCATCATGGTGCGGTGTGGAGCTGCTCACAAAACATGGGGTATTCAGGGGGGTTATAAGATCGTGATTTGTTTTGAAACTAGTGCTTGTGATGCAATCACAAAGTGGGAGGTGAAATCTTTTACAATGTAGTCTCATCTGGTTTTGAGTGCCGCTTTCAGCAATAGCTCTGCTCTTATGTATTGACCATCGTAAAGGGATCAGATATAACAGAACTGTCCAAGATACGGACCACATGGTAATTATCCATCACTTTGGGAGGACTTTTGAATTTCATGATAGCTTTGTACCGAATAAATTCCATTAAGTTAGTTTGTAAATTTGCCTTGCAGTATGCACCGAAGAATGCCTGCAAGACATTATAAAGTGGAGTGATGTTTGCCCAACCGAGTGATTAACAAATCTTGAGATTTTCGAAATTGTGGTGAAATTTGGGCCTTAAGGAAATCATACATGGTCAAGGCATCTAAAATTTCCTGTAAGCTAGTATTAGTCTCATTTTTGCATTCCTCTACTTTATTATGGCCTCAGTGACAACTTGGGGAGCTGTATTGATGATAGCTGCGAGGATAGTTGATTCGCGTGCACGAGTATATTGATTCTAATGACTGATTTACCCACTAAAAGTGCCGCATAATAAAGAAAATGGTTGTGGATGGAATAATCTAAAGGACTTGTGGAGCTAAATGCAAATTACCATACATATCAGGCCACGACAGCCATTTTAGGCCGGTCGACACCCATATGGGACTCTCCCAAAACAAAAGTTCTTTTGTGGATTTTTTTGTCCATAACAACCTTTTATTACTTTATACAATGTATGGATAATAACGCTGCCATGACATAAACGAATCCAGGAATTGGCATCCGTACGGCCCTATTGAAGCGGTGGAAGCCAGTAGTAGACGACCTGAGCAGGCATCAAAGCCATCGTAGGGAAGAACAAACCACCCACTAGTCAAGTTCCCCATAAAATGTTAGCAGATAGATTGATAACAATTCTTGCAATAGGTCAGTATGTGAAAGTTCATCAGACTACTTTTTCTTTTCAGGAAGGTGAGGTATTTACATGATAGAAACGTCTTGTAAACTTTTTGCAGTAATAATAAGCGCCAACTAAATAACTAAGTATTTTTGTAGATATTTTTTGTTACATCTTTGACTTGCAAGTAAGAATAATCTAACCTTAAAAATTGTTTTAATGCACCAGGGTTCCAAACCATAGAAGGGAGCAAGTTCAGCCTTACAGCAAGGATTGGTCTTGGTTTTGGAGGTGGGATGGTTGCTGGAATTTGACGTTACTCGATATTCCGATTTGACCGCGCTCATACAGATCGACTTATAATGTTCGATCAAAGCCACTCAACTGCTCTATTTCTTCTTGAAATTCTCCTAAATCATCAGGGTCCCATGCACATCTCCGCTCTTTATTTATCATTTCAAGCATCTCTTAGCAATGCACACGGGTATGTCAATCCGTATGGTGTGGCCATGCCGGTGGGCAATACATCACTGGCTGAATTTATCAAATTTCTTCAGAGTTTTCCTTCCCTTTTTATAATTGTTGGAAATTACGTTTACCCAACCAGTCAACTGGATTTCGAGAATGGATCACATATTTTACAACAAAACTTGCCTTATGTTGACCATGCTTGTGCATGTTTGATTCAGTCTGGCTCTGAAGTCTTTCCAGCGACTCCTGTTATTCCCGCCTTTGTTGATCCGATTCTTCGTAGAAATACGATGGCTTTATTACAGAATTACTTAATGACTTGTGGATCTCATCGCTATATGCCACTACAAAGGCTGATGGGCTGTTTATCTTATGTTTCACCTGTCGTACGTGCCGCTTTGCCTAACCTAAAGGCTCTTACTGTTTTTTTGCGTCAATACCCGGAGATTTTCCATGTAAAAGACGGTATGGTGGGGTTGGCGAAGCCTCGGCGTAATTTTCGACAAGTCTTTCAATCAGATACGGGCGTTGGAAACATTTCTGCAGCTGATGACAGTACGGCTGAAGCCCTTAAAATAGAGGCTGTCATTTCAAGCTCCACTGATTTTACCGGCGCCAAAACCATAACACTGCCTGCTTCGGACTTTTCTGTGATTCTCGTCCTACGACGCATTTTACGGCAAGCAGGTGAAAACGGCCTTCATGTTGCCCTTGTAATCAAACAAATCATTGAGTTTCCATACAACGTCCAAAAACTTGTCGGTCTTACTCGATTTGAGTTGCATTCTTTTGTTACAAAGTACAGGGAGTTTTTTGACATCCTGCCATTGCTGATTGATGAAAGTCCGTCGAATGCACAAGACAAACAGGTCGATTTAAAGACTTCCTACAAAATCCCCAAGAGCTTTTGCCTTCGAATAAATGCAGACGCCTTGCATATGCGCTCACGCATACTGGATCATTCATCCGGCCGAGGCGGGAACGGGAAGGATGCTTCAAGACTAAAACAGCACGTTGGTCGCGTCTTTCGTGTGGCCAAGTCCTGGGGGATCATTGATCTTGGCAACCACGTTCATGTCTTCTTTGACAAGTCTATTTTCCGGAATGTTTCCGATCTACAAAAAGTCTTTCAAGTAAGCCTCATCTCGCCTCTGTACTTATAACGCATTCCTTATCCATTCAAATTCTAGCTGCCTCATTTTTTGTAGTGTTTAAGTGTTACATGATAATTTGTAAGCCTCGTTATTTATTCTCTTTTGTTATAGTTCATTTATTGGCCACTGTAGCACGCATTCTTTCCCCTCCCAAAGTCAGTTTAATATTTTTTCGCTTCAGGGACTAAGGTATCAGTATATGGGAGAACCTCTGTCTTTATTTTTTCTATGGAGTTTAATCAATGAATGTTTTGTACTAGCCTGTTAAATGTGCTATTTCATCTATTATTTTGTCCTGTTGGTACACTACCACCTACCTTATGTGTATTTTTGAGTTGGTTCTCCTCCTAAAGATAAAAAATTATTGTTAAGTTATTTTTTATTATTTCCTGTCTCAGTAGGAACAATAATTGTTGTGAGCACCAGTCTTACTGCCTTTTTGAAAATTCGCCTAATTTGGGCAAATATTCATCCTGCTTTACTTATAAGTTTTGACTTAATTCTGTATTAGCTTTGAATTTGTATCTGATAAAATCGTACGCCATTTACGCTTGTGCCTATCTATCTCTGAAGCATTGTAAGCGATATTTTTCATGAAATTTTTAAGCTGCCTGACCTTGTCAGCCGGTAAGAAAGGCGACCGATTTCCTGGTGCCGTTCCACTATGCCGAGCACAGCGAACCAAAGTCGCATCTTTATTAATCCGATTGAAAATCTGAGAGCTCAATTATTTTATTGGGGGCAATGCTTATGCCCGTTAACTGTCGAAATACTTTTCATCATTTGTAATAACGTGGTGTCATCACGCCAATTTCCAGTTTTTACTAATTTTTACATGCAGGAGAAGTTGATTACTTGATTTATTTCATTCCTGATTCCACAGTTTGACATAAGTCAAGTCACATTTCGAATCAGTCTTTTCTGGTACTCTAAGATAAGAATGGCTGTACTGTTTCCCGTTTTGTTGGAATTTAATGTTACACTTTTTACTTTTTTGAAGACATTTCCTAGGCGTGATACCTGAAATCCTGGTTTCCGTAAGGTTTGAAATGCAAATTTCTGGGTCAGTTTTTCCTCAAACAAACGCTTATTCATTGTGCTTTTAAAAAAGGAATATCTATGTTTTTTTACTTAACCTTCGATTCTGTGGCTGCGTGAACTCAGATGGTAATACTTGCTGGGATAAATAACTTGACGACTACGCCTTATTTGTCAATTAAGAAACCGTAAAACTTACTTAAAATGGTCTAAATTATTAGCGTTAGTCTTATAGATTTCATTTGCTGTCAATGGCCCATCTAGTCTTTTCCTCTTGTACACAGTCAGTGTAGGCCTACTTGAAAATCTTTTTGACAATAGGATCAACATGAACTTGCAAATTAAATGAAATGGCGGATTTTCCTCCAATTTGCTGTAAACGCACAATTTCCTTGCTCACCACTGTAGCCTCTAACACTTGAACGTTAGTAGCATGTTATCTCATCAAGGCTTGCTTCCTCCTTTTGTTGAGCTTCATACAGTCATCAATTTGGGAATGTCTCCTATGCTTTAGCCTCTAAAACTGGTTGGAGAGCAGCATTTTTTTCTGGTGATTGTAATGTGCCAATCAGTTGATTTGTAAGCCACTATTCAAGGTAAAAATCGACGACATTTGATAGCCTTTAAACGAAGAGTGCTGTTTGTTGGTGAGGCGTTTAAGGGGGGTCGGGTACACCGTATCATCATAAGCGATTAAATGGGCAGTCATTTTGGAAGAATCCTTCATTACCGACTGTGAAAAGAAGAAAGAAAGTGGACTTTTCTGCAAGAAAATGAACAATCAAGCAAAGAGCTTGTTTATTAGTTCCTTTTATGGAACTTGGACTACCATTTGACACTGTCACTTGTCATGCGTGTCATATCTTTAAGTCGAACTTTCGAATGTCCCCTTTTTCTGTGTAAACTTCTCTATTCTTTGTAGAGATATTGTTTAAAGACTCATTTTTTCCACCGCAAACTCATTCACAAAAATATACCCTCTAGTTGAAAATCAGTGTTTGGATTTGGCAAGTAGGAATACCACTTTCACGCAGACTACGTGATCGTACCTCCATCGCCATCCGTGTAACTGTAAATGGATATCAATGTTGTGCGATTTGGCCACGAAATGTCCGTCAAAGTTGCGTTTTATTGCGCTGTACGTGGTTACTTTTTGCTTCACATCTCCACAATCTGTCCATTCACGTGGACTACTTGATCTATCGGCAACAAATGCCACCCTGAAAGCGTCCGCATGGTTTTCTTTAGCCATTTATGAAACTCCATTCACACAAATCGTTTGCGTATATATGTCAACAAACTGTAAACAAAGTTTTTCCTGACTAATCACTACCATTTCTACATTTCTCAAATCATTTTTCAGCAACAGTGTTAGCCCAGATTTGGTTGACTAGTAAATGCAATCGCAAAGGACTGTCCTCAGGCCTACACGAGGAGTGTATGTACAGTAAAATAAAAATTCGCGTTTCCCTAGTCCAACCAATTAGGCTTCCTTGAGTCCTTGCCCTGGGTTGAATTTGATTTCTACGCTATGCATTATGGTCCACGAACTTCGCCCAAAGAAATTATACTCTGAATTAGTTTCACCTTTCATGTAAGGACCTCTGGATGCATACATTTTCCAATCCTGCTCAAACTCTTCTAGCCGGCAGCATAATTTGAATATCTGACCTTGATGGATAAACTTCGGTGGGATTTTGGGCTGTTCGAGTCTTATCATTTTGGTACAACTGCAATCTCACTTTAGCCAAGCGTAAATTGGCACCATATCCACTTTACTAGATTCCGTACTCCCTTCTCTGTAGTAGTTATGGCCTGAGTGTGTCTCTGTCACCCTATCGCAGATTCCAGTCGTCATGGCATGCCACCAAAGTGGGTGATACGGAAGTTGGCTTGATATTTCAGTCTTGGGCGTGCTCCCCTCCAATTTGCATGACCAACTAGCTGGTGACAGCACCAGTTGCTTCTGCCTGCCCGTATGTGCGTGTGTGTGTGTGTGCATAGGCGAACTTGTGTGAATCACTTCTTCAATTCTCCAACAAATATTACTACTGTGTGCATACCTTTCCGATCCTCACACTTAGTCATTCAAAAGCCGTCAATGTGGCGGTTCTTGGTTTCTGATTAAAAGCTGTAAGTCTTGGCGTTACCGCCACCTCCAGTTGATCGACCTACCCCATGATTAGTAATAAGACCTCAGTGAATGCATGAATGAATGAATGAATGCCGAGTTTAATATGCTACTATGCTTCGGGAGTTTGGTGCGTTTGCTTTCAAATTCTAGGAAAGTATACAGGTTTTCCAATTCGTTGTACGATTGAAACTTTGGTGTGGGCACTATCCATCCAAATGGCGTCATTGTGTGAGATACGTTCCTTGATAGTTGCTCCAAACAAAGTATGGAAAGCTGCCGATTTTTCCACTTTTTATTTTTTTGCCTACACAATTGGAGTCTCAATTTATCTTTTTGCCTCATCTCAGTTAACAGGGCAGTAAAATACAGTCTTCAAAGCGGATGTGGTAGTCACTGAGAGCCTGCGCCGTACCTTTCAAATATCGTTTTAACGCCTTTTCAAAACCTGTATTATCAATGCTATATTATTGTTGTAATTTCACTAGACTGGCTAATCCTACCATTTTGAAAGATTTCGCCATTGCAACGCAAAACTTTTGTGTGGAGCAGTGTTATCGCAAATAGTCTACTACAGGACGTATTTTGATGCCTTATTTGGTAGTCGGTCCCCTAAACTTAATTTAGTGTTTTCTAGCATCTCGTTTTTTTCATGAGGCTAATTCCAGCCTTGCTGTTGCTACTCCTACTGGTCCTTTGCCACCTACCATAACATCTGTAAACAAAAGATGTTGAATTCCTTATTTATATATGGCAAAATGTTTCATATCCTAGTCTTTAGTTAATCAAGGATCGGCCTTTCATCCGTCATTATATGAAATATTGCCAGCGCTTTTAAGTGGGAATTCTCTACGAGATAGCATGGGACCCACCTGATTTGCATCAACATGATTTGTCGCCCACCTTAATGGCAATGAGACCCACCTTACTGTCTTTGCATTTTCTCGATGTTAGATCACGGAAAAGGTGCCATTTTTGTTGCAGTCAGTGTTGTCATTCACCTTTGGTTCATTTGCATAACACATGTGGGTGCGATTATCGGTGGTGCGGGGGAAGCCACTGGAAATGCTTTGGGCTAGAAGCGATCACGCATAAAGCAAATGCACTGGCAACCGCTTCCAAACACCTACGCGTAGACGGTCCCTCAAAGTGGTGCATGTGGATCCCTTTTCCTTTGTCCTGTGATCCACCAATCGTTATGGTCCTCAATAACGGTGAACAGTGGCTTTGATTGCAAAAGGTGCAAAGCGATCTGCCGCATCTTCTCAAGTTGGAGGTAAAAATAGTGTTTATTTCTAGTGGATCCAACACTCGAATTGTGATTCTACTGTTTTTAGCTGTAAAGCAATCGGCTCGGAGTAGACATTACTTAGCAGCATCCGAGTTTTTACTGAAGGCGTCATAAGGTGAACGGTTCTGTTTAGAACTGCTATGAGTGTGCATGAAACCTGGTCGGTTGTTAACAGAAATGATAGAAACAGTACACTCCGATACTAATACGGTGCTTAAAGCCTCCGAAGACTGCAGAGACCTCATTAATAGTCCACGATTGGAATGAATGAATTGAAGATTTCATACACAAAAATCAGACTCGGAATTAGACCAACTGTGGCACTTTCTAGTCTAACTTTCTTGGTCTCTTCACGTACTAAAGAGAAATTAAATTTCTTACCAATAAATGTCAATTGTGGTATACTTTTTGGCAGCTCCCCAACACACAAACACCATCCCTTTAATGCTATAAAAGACGAACAAGTTTTATGTCTCATGTCCACATTATTGTGCGATTGTTGCATTGCGCTTGTGTTCGTCAAAATCCTAGATCTCCATCCTAATTTTGGCCATAAAATCTCACATTACTTGAATTTTTAAAACTTTTTAGCACCGGAATATTCATGAACCTCCAAATGGTAGCATTTCTTAAGTTGCCTTCTGCTTCTAAGAATGTTATTGTAATTTTGTGCTGCCGGGTGTCCACAGGCGTTTATGTTTGAAGATCTATGGCGCACACTCTCTGGAGGGGTCATGCTTGCCGAAACCAAAAAATGGAACTCTCTTTGTACGATGTGCGATCGCTTCACAATTTTAAGTGCGTTTTCTGTGTATTGCATCGGTCAAAGCGCACGAGAATGGAGAAAACGCATCGTCAAATTCAAATTCGGCGTGATAATGATTCGGGCCACTTGCCACGCTTGGTACACTTCTCTTGCATCAACAAAAGACACGACCTAAAGCGAGCCTCCCCCCTACCTCCTACATGGTGGCGTTTAACGTCGCAATACTGAATCACCACATCATATTCACTTGTGGCGTGAGTGTCATCTGCCGTGTGATTCCATAAAACAGGTCCTCCAATAGCACGACATGAATTGTCTTTTGCATTGTCTCCTTTTTTGGACTGTGTGATTCACAGATCGTGGTGCGATGGAGCTCCAACGGACTGTGCGGAAATTTTTGCGCATCCACGCTTGCATCATCTCCAGTTAGTCTGTCTCGCACCCCACAAGAAGTTACAAATATTTTATAGGGAAAAGGCGCTCGCCTCATTCATTAGAATTTTCTAGATCACGAATACTACTTTGGACTATTTGCATTGGAGTATGCATTTGACAGTTCGTTAAATGGTCCCGTTTGTTTAGTATCTAGGGTTATCTACTACGTTCCTGTTCATTGCTTACAACGAGTGGCCGCTCAAGTTAGAAGATAAGCGGTGCTTGTCATTCGAATTCGAAGTCCTCTGTAGTTGACCTACATTTTGAGAACAGTAGTTATGGCATCCACTTTTAAACCCACTCTGACCGATTTGTGACAATTTGACAAGCACACAATTGTCATCGAGCGTTGACTTTCGACAAACCGAATCCTGTACTTATTTATTGGAGCTTGGAAGGTGTTTGCTGACTTGATCAAGAGCGTAACAATCCGATTATGACTTCCACAAGTGTGTATGCATGTGTACTTATTCTGTTTGTTTATTCACTCCACAAATCGGATCGTTAATATGATTTGTTTAATTTACTGGAACACTTGGATTCGAATACTCTTTTAATTCGAATGTTGCGGTGAAATTTCAAAAAGTCAAGTCCACTCCTTCATTTTTTAATTGAGACTTTTGAAAATTTTGAATTAGACAGAATGTATGATGATTTTGGGGGAATAATGTGTTTGACTTCTCTTGCCTTCCAAACGAGTTTGATGTCTGGTGGTTTATTTATGCACCCAGAAGCATTTGCTAGGATAGATCACTTGCATCCCTCCTGTTCATGCTAAGGTTCGCTTATTCCTCGAGTCTGCGGAAGCAAAAGACTTAGCTTGACTTCCACTTTTACTCGTACAAGAGTAAGCTCGATTAGGATGGATATTTCTAGCTCATTTTACGTGAACTACGTTCTAACTGCTTCCCATTTCCCACGACTAATTTCGCGTCTCTGTCCCACAAAACGAGGTAACGCCCTTGAACTTACGAACAAGTTCTTGGCTTGCATGAACAATTGGTTTTTCCGCCGCGTTAGCTAGGAACTCTACCAATCGGTTAGTTTTACGTATATCCCTTCTCACTTGCCCCACTTTCAAGCATTGGGGGTAAATTTGAAAGAGCAATCGTTGTACCTTATGAACTCACTACCTTTTCAATTACTCTGGCCAATTCACGAATTCGTGTTGAGTGACATTTTAGAAATCGAAATGAAGGGACGACAGCTCGAAGATGCAAACCCACATCGTGCACTGAAGCACCTCCTCTCCGTGTCTGGTAAAAACAGGCGCTTTTGCCACCTCCGCTGTCTCAATCATCGGAAATAGCCATAGGAGTGAAATATTTTCGCACCCAATGTTAACGTTGCTATTCTGCGACCAGGCTCGGTAGTGGTACACAAATGTTGATTTGTCATATTTTGGCATCCGTTCTGCGCTAGACCGTCTAGTTAGCATTCACTGGTGCCTCCTGAATCAGCTTTGTTGTGTGTGTCATCCATCAATCCGTGAAAAACAAACCCCCCTATGGCTTACAGGCATGCGTCTCCTGATGCATCCTGCTGCCTTATCAGTGAGTGGGACTGGTCTTTTAAAATGTAATTTCTCTACACTTTCCAACGGACTCACTGATATTTTGCCCTTTGGTGCACCCCTTTATTTGTTCCTCGCTCGCATTAACATTGATCCCAGTGAACCATTCCTGTCAACAATTCCATTGGCTAAAGTTACTACAGAAATTCGGTAAATTTCTATTCAATTAACTTTTTCAAAAACGAAATGGAACAGCTTTGTAAAGTGCTGTGATTGTTGTAATTAGTTTCTCTAGTTTGTATTCTTCTTTAATAATAAAATAACACCCATCGATTGCCAACTGAAGTGCATTAAAACTATTTATCTTCCATTTTTTACAACATAAATGCTTCTTTTGCTATAGAAGCACTGGTGCCGATGTTGAAGTGGCACTATTTCTGACTGCCTTTAATGCCACTTTGTCTTCTTGTTTTGTATTATGCTGTAGCGTCTCGTGGCTTCCCTAAGGATGAGTAAGGGTATAATTCATGGGTAGAATGCATATATTCGATATACTATAGGGCTTGGGGGCTACTAACATGGCTCGGAGGCCAGCCCATCCGACAAGAGCATAATGGCGGAGCTCCCAAGTGGCCCCTCTACCAAAACCGAGGCTTTAACAAGCAACCAATGTATTGTAAAACATTTTCTAGTGGATTCACTGTTAATGGAACTAACTGGCAAAGACAATGTGGTGTCTTCGATCACTAGTTTTGTAAACATCTTTATATTTTCGAAAATCTTCCACCTTTTTGGGTCATCAGTAAGCGGTTTTAGCAAAATGTATTTCGCCGAGTTCAAGGTTTTTAATTTTTAGTAAGAAATTTTCACCCTCCTCTTCGTATTTTCTCCTCCTCTAGATGGATATCAGTATCTCATTCCGATAAGGTGATCACTTCTATGTGTTACTCTTTGTTATATGTTTTAATAACCTTGTGCATAATGCTATAACATGCGGAATGAGTTTTGCTGACCTACAGAATCCAAATTCTGTAGTCCATTGGATACCAACCATCTACCACTCAAAATTGTTGTGCTTCGTGCTATTTGGAGGAAAACACTAACTGGTAGTTTGCGGTGCCGCTTCTAAAATGCATAACTGTAGGCGCTTGGTTTGGCTGGGTGGTGTGGTAAATGGGTAGTTGTGTGTACTTCAAGGGTTTTGGTGTTATTTAACAAGGGAAGTACCTTTGCCTCTACTATTTTGCTAATCATAATGCCAAACTCTCGAAACGCGTTTTGTCTCATTTACATTTATGGTGAGCTTGCGTTCTCTGAACGAATTTTAACATTTGAGAACATTATCCATTTGAATACCTATTAACATGATTATTAGATCTTACTGGTGATTTTCATGCGCAATGATGCATGTCTTAAAACAAAGAATACTCTGTTTTAGTCACTTATTTAAATACACAAAACCTTGCTTTTATTTATGACATTTGCATTTGCTGAGACAAGATGACCAGTACCTTCAAACTACTTTCATACTTCCTCGGTTGCCAGCACACTAACCCACATGCGATCTCAGACGTAATTCAGAGCAAAATACAGCTTAAAATATGATATTTAACCAAAAAAAGAAAGTGAAGCGTTCACATATTTAATCATCTGTCCTTACTGTGTTTATATAGCTCTCCTCTCATTATTATGTGGATCGGTGAAAGGAGTTTTTTCCATCTACCTCTTGCATTGTTCGCACAGCCCAACGAAATGGTGCACTTTGACGCGATTCGGGCTCCCTTACGCTCTCGGGCGAAGTGGCGCGCCACTCGTGTCTGGAAGTCGGATGACAATGACATTCTGCAGCATGTCGTTGATCCGGCCTCTAAAATGTCTAGTGAGCAGACACTCTACAATTGCGGCGTTGGGGGTATCGGCAGCAGTGGTAGTGGTGGAGGAGGTGCCGGCAGCGGCGAATCGGGCTTCGTCTCCTGTCAGTCCTACGGTCTTCTCTGCCTACCTTTCCTCGCACCTCCCTCTCGCTGTAAATCGAAGTCCAGCGTTGATTCCGCCCCTTCCCTGAATATCAGTGGTTCCACCACGTCTGCAGCCATGAAGCAACGCCGTTGCCTCTCCTTGGATCGTCTGGACGCCGAGATCGCATCTCAATTTAACAGTGATAGGGAGTTCCCCATTAATGAGGACTACTCCGGCTACTATCTTAGTGATGAAGATGATCTGAACATCGAATTTGACCCAGCCAAGGCTACAAATGTGGATGACTTTCTGCCCTTCCTTGCCTTTGACACCCTCAAGCGTCCAATCAAACTACTCCATAATACAGGTGGTCTACTGCCCGACCTGGAGTTCCCAGACTCGGACATCAGTTCATGGGCACCGGGTGATGTGGATAGCCTGTCTGTGGTGAATGGACATCCAGACAAAACCACCTGCAATGCCTCCACACAGACCTGGTTCACGGGTGTGGTCACTTCGGCCGAGTTCTACCACGGTCCTACGTGCACACACGAACAACTTCAGGCGGTGAAGGAGTGATGCTTGGGAGGGGATCGTCGTCCCTGGTGTATGTGTGTGTGCGTGTCCGCTGTTATACTCTGCTTTGTACAAACTCTTCATCCAAAAAAATGCACTATGCTGCTGCTGCTGCTGCTCACATCAGTCTGCTTCTTATCATGCTTATTTGTTTCTTTTCTCCCCTCCTTGTTAATCCCAAACACACACAAGAACATGAAGCTGTAACTTAGTCGGGAATTGTGAGGAATACGAGTGATCATTTTGCACATTAAGTCTTCTACTTTATTTACCCAAGGATAGATTAATCCACATTAATTTAAGCTGGTCACTGAGGTCGCTATAATCCACGGGTTAACCAAACTGAGATTAGTGCCACTCAGTGTTTATCATAAGTTAAAAGTGAAATTGAAGTGTATTTGTGTGATGTTATTTGCAAATCGCCTATTCAAAATCACAAAGACCCTTGCAAAAAATAGACAAGTCGTTTGGTGTTGGCGTTTCTACCTCAACCTAACCTACACACAACGAAGGGTGGCTGGCTCATTTATTTTCAGGCAAAAAATCTCTCACCGATCACAACAGCTTGGCTGCAGCTTAACGGTAGATTTTGTGTGTGTCTGATTAGGATAACAAAAAAGGGTCACATCAGGATTTTTGAACCAATTCCAAAGAAGTATTTTTAATGGCTTGTCCGCTGATATGGATGGGTGTGAAAGTGCGTCCTCATTCATTTTACTTTCGATTACAGTGATCTTTCGTGAGCTTAACTATTTGCGTAATCCAATGTGTACAAATCTGTCAAAGACATACCACTTTGATTACCAAGCAAGGCCTAAATTCCCAACTGGCTTAGGAATTTTGGAAAGCGCCAAATCAAACAATTTTGCCATGCCATCTATAGCAAGCCGCCGCTTTTGGGTGTCATTCTATCTTCTAAGTGGGTTTGTTTCGGGGATCATAAAACGCGAAATGCAATTTTTTCCTCGACAAAATAACCAACGTTTGACTAGGCGTCAAAGGGAAGCCAGAGTTGCTACTTTGTGCCAAGCAGTGCAGTGAAAGTCAACGCGCCTCCATCCACTCCCTTTCCTCATGCGTGACCTTCGAGCTCGTATTTTTGGATTGGCCAGCGGTATTTCATTGAGTTGAAGGTTAACTTTTGCATACACTATTATTATAATCGAGATAACATAGATTAATCAAAGTAAACGGGAAACCACTTTACGCAGGTGAAAGGATTGATTATGGGTTGGTTTATCAAATTACAGGCGTTGTCCACAATCGTCCTTGTGAGAATCGCATTGCTCAAATTCACAGTTTCCCAAGGTTAACAGTTCTAATATGCCAACACTCAAATTTCTACAAAGTGTTCTTCAATGCTGATAGGAGCAGTGCATTCGAGAAGTTCAAAAAGTGTCTGCAAAAAATTCTGATGATCGCTGTAATACGCTGGCCATTCGCTTAACACTCGGTGTTGGTAAAGGAATCACTTATGGGCTCTATGATTATGCTTCTGTCGGGCGGCATACCCTTCGGGTCCTGCTAGTAGCCCCAAGCCCTACTGTATGCCTACTACATGTATTCCACCCGAGTATTATGGCTTCCTTCGTCTTCAGGGAAGGCTTGGGGCGCCACATCGGTGGTATCAGAAATTAAACCTGGTCTTAAATTGTACCTATCCTGATTTCTACTGCTATGTGATAAACTTTAGTGGGGTGGAAGAAGTGCATGCGCTGTAGATGAGGAAAATCAGTAACGACCCCTAATAAGAGGGCCGAAAATGACTTCAACCTTTGGTACCTACCTTAGTCCCGTTAGTTAGCAAAAAAGCTATTAACAGCGGAAGCAATACTCGCCATTATTCATTTAAAAACGCTTGCTACGGAGCTGTCCAATGTGATTCTATGCAGATATCAATTATATGAACTAGCGCTGCCTCATATACTCCTCTACCGGTTGAATAGAACCCAGGTAGATATGACTGGCATCGCCGAGGTGAGGACAGTGTGGCAAGAAGGAATCGACTTCAGTAACCTTAATCTTTTGTGTAAGTCAATTACATATAATCGTCCCGAGTGTTATGCCTTCAGGGGCGCTACACTCACAACAATTTGATAGCACTGACTCTGCCGCCTTTAATGCCTAGTCAAGTTTGATTGCCATCGTCATTGACCGACGCGACCCTCAGGGTAGACCAAGGTCTAGCAAGACGAATGAAAATACGGCACAGTTACTCATTGACCTAAGGCACAAGTGATTAAGTACCTAATGGTACTAAGTTAATATCAAATGAGGTTTCACCTTAGACGTTTCTGATATTCTACAGGATGAACTAAAATAGTATTGGAAGTTCTCCACCATTTCAAAAGGGTACCTACCATTTGAAAGGGGACGTGGTCTCTATCAATTTCCGCGAATCTTCTTCATATTGACAATCCATAGACTAAGAGGCAAGAAACAGCCATTCAGGTAGACGGAGCAGAACTTTTTGAGGTCCACCAAGGATCAAATTATCGGAATAAACAATGGTTGAATATTTTTAAATACAGGAAATTGTAGCAACATGTACTTTATGAGGGTATTCCTTCAGAGCCTTGTAAAGGCTTGTTGCTTCTTCGTTGTCAGCTTGTCAACTAACACATAACTCATTTTTTCTCTTTTGAACATTTACCAGCCTGGGCTTGAAATAGATTCAAAAAATGTTGATACACAATCATTCTCTTTCAACTTCCACATCTCTCACTTCGTTGCTCACTTCGCCGCTGTTATCAGGTCTGCACGAATCGAAGTATGCGAAAAGAGTTCTTGATACCTCTCGTTCAATATCCTAACAGACCAAATCTTTGGAATATTTTTAAAAAGGAGTAGGTATCATTCGAGACATTCCTGTTTCCATTGTGTTTTTGCCGTAATTGACGCAGTCCTTTAATGCAGTAGCCAGAAAGTAGACTCAAATATTAACACATTATTTCCCATGGAAAAATGTTACCTAATAGGAACTAAAGCCCCCTTTTCAGTCTATATTAGTCCCTCTAGACACCTCGACTCATGCACTATGTTACCACGAGTGTCCAAGCCCTATCATAAAGCATAACTCTGACGTGTGAATTTCCGATGCGTGGTGCCACCTACAATCTAATGTGGTAATATACTTGACCAAATGAAGGGTTTAAACAAAACTGTTATGTTTATGCCTCCAGGTATTCATTAATCCGTTAAGGCGGAACTTCATGATCTGCCTAATCATTACTACTTTGGTCGCTGGTGCAGTAAAAGCGCCTTTCGTTGCGCTAGAAATGGAATGTGTCCTCATCCAAATAATGAATGCTTAAAAGGACTATTGCAAAACCATAAAAACAGAAAATTCATTAACAAGAAACATTAACCCACCCAATTAAAAATGGAAATGAAAAAAAATGGCTACTGTATGGAAGATATCGTCTGGAGCACAGGTGTTTAAAAACTTAAGCAAACGAAGGATTTGCAGGTCAGCAGTAGTTTTATGTCAACTTTTGCTTTGCCAACATCAGTGCATTAAAAAGCCTGAGCTTGACTTCGATGTCATGGCGTTCTTATGATTCTTTTAAATTAACATCGTTTTGCAGTGGAGTGCTTTCATGTCTTTGACTCAGGAGAGGCCTCGACTTCACTAGGATTCATCATGCACCTAATTATAGTTTGAATCCGAAGTGGTGAAGTATTTATCACCGACTAATAAATTTGAATATATTGCAGTGTAGCGTCCCAAGTCTCTCCCGAAACCGAAAGAAGGCATAATAATAGGTTGGAAAATGTACTGCCGACGTACAGAAGGGTAGAGGGGCTACTGCCATGGCTCGGAGACCAGACCGCCGCGCAAGGGCGCAAATGACGGACTCTCAAGTGTCCGCGAAATCAAAACAAATAATTAAACAAATTCTCCAAAGATTACAGAATGAATTTGACGGATCATTCGGTTGATTTACAGGGATTTATAGTGGATCACGATTAGATGCTAGCTTAAATGAGCTACCATTCTGGACGCTATAGGCATCAAAAAGTATAGTGCTAGTTACCTTGGTCCCATTAATGGCAGTTATTTACGTTAAGATAAAAGCACTATCAAGCAGCGTCACCCTACCTTGTCCGTAAGGTAATTCGGTAGAATAGGATTGCGATAATCTACACACATTTGATAACCCGCATATTCGGTAGTTATGGCGATGCAAATACAAATGCTATCGCAAAAACAAAAAAAAGAAAAAACAACGAAGCCGAAACACAACAGAGTCGGGTCACAAACGATGTTTTTCAGACATTGTGGACACCCACTAGGTCGATCACGTACACCACTTCCCATCTTTCCACCCTTTGTGCATTTTTGCGTGCCTGTGTGCGTGCACGGCCATGAACAATAGATGACAGCACGTGCGTGTGGAAGTTTATTGCGCTGGAGGACCATAACGAAACTTTTTTATATTTACCAAAGACTTGCACTTAGTGCAGTCATGCAGGCAGTCTTGGAGGTTCAGGGACTCAAGACGCAGTAATACGCCAAGTAGGATTGTAATTTGACTATGAGTGAATTTATCACCACCCAATTTTATACATTTGCAAATTTCTAGGAGTCTTTCTTTGAGCCATCAATTGCTAAGTTCAGTTATTTGTGCTGCGTGCTTATGAAATTCCAATTCCATAAGAAATCTCCGACTTGCAATTGCTTAGACCCTAAGTGCTTCGGTATTTCTATAACTATGAATTTGAATAAGGTTATCTTATACATGCTGAAATGGGCTGGTTGTGTGTTTAACTCCAGGATTTGGTAGTGAGCACTTAGGTACCCCGCTATTGTACCTCCTACAAATAGACTGGCCTGCATACCTACCGTAAATCAAATATATGTATTTAGTCAGAATAATGACTTCTTTAGTCTTCAGCAACATCTCAAGGCGCCAAATTGGTGACAGTGAAAGGCGAGCCACATCTTAAAAGACAGATTATCTTATTTTCACTGCTAAATGATAAAC